ACTTTTCTATTGTCTGTACTTACTTCTGATTGGCTTAAACAGCAAAAGTTAACAAAACTTCATAAAGCGGTACATATATTCATCCTTACTTTCCAACCATCTTCCATATAGCAAAATCTGGTCTCAGTTTGAATAACAAAGAAATCCTATGTGGGGAACATGTAAAATTGTAAACTTTTCTTGGCTATTGTTCTCAACTCTTGTGATTGGTCAAAATCTTTAAACACAAAAAAACACCCTCTCAAAGTGGAGTGTAAATGCATTTTATTGCGTAGACGGCCTTCATGTAGGTTTATGCATTTTCTGTGTAAAAATGAGAACATTCCTATGTGGGGAAAGCACCGTTGCCCCATAACAAAAGAAATTGCTATCCACCTTACCCGGATCATTACTTAACCTCTTGTAAACGACCACTTGACGCATTCTCTTATCTCTATGTTCGTTGTGAGCACTATACTATTTAGAATATGCGAAGAACTTTAGTGAGAACACGGAACTGCACATGTCTTAACTAAGACATCGCATGCAATAAATTATCTTCCATAAAGAAGATGTTCCAGGACCTCTTCTCGGAAAAGGCTCCCTGTGGTTCGATTCTTGTAAGCAACCACTCAGTCGTTGCATTTTAGATGGTCACTTACGGGAGGTTCGACTGTAGGAGAGTAAAACTACACTATAATGTAAAAAGGAAAACAAACACGCTAAGGAACATGCTATGTCACGAAAGAAGGGCAAGCGTGACAAACAGCACGTGACCGGTGTCACTGAAGAGTCATATGATACGAAACAAGAGACGAAAACAACAAAAGCTATAGTAAACGAACTGAGGTTGTGATCTACGATCTCTCACAAAAACGTGGCACAACAAAGTAGAACACTAAGCTGAAGGAATAACAACGGCTTCGTTTAGATGAATTATATATCTGTTTTGACTCTTTTGTTGAATAGTAGCTTTAGATTCTTCTCACCAGACGAATCGTGTTATCTAGAGTTTAATACGATTTGCAGCAATACTGGATAAAACAGATGAAAAAGGGACTGCTTTTCTAAGCATTTTCTTACGCGTCTGTCTTAGATTATTCGCTCCCCTTGAAGGAGATAATCCGCTGCCCGAAGGACTTGACTCTTGATAAGGTTTTGAGATCGCCACGAGGCTAAGATGTTCAGCTGCACTAAACACTCGATCGCGCTTCGATGGAGTAATACATTTTCTGGAAAACTGGTAACTGAATTCTCTGCTAACAAGTTCTCCATCAATGCGAAGACAGCTGCATTTGATTCTTACACCTAATTATATAGATAGCGTAAACTCATTATGAATGAAGAACTCACCTTCCATTGGCGACCTCGAAAAAATCAAGAGCACATGGTAAATCGAAAATTTCTCGTGTGATCAAGTGTTAATTCCGAGTAACATTCGAGGCTATTCGAAGCTATCCTCGACAAACATTGAACAACCGACGATGTCCCGAAACAAAAAGGGGCTAAGATCGGTGAATATCGGATCGAAATCGGTAGAGTTTGTCGGCTCGGATTCTTTTGTTACACTCAATCACTCAACGCGATAACATTGTGGCGTACAGCCTCTAAGAGGCAGTAAGCCACAAAAAGCAGTCTCTGTAAAGATAAGTTTCTTCTCCAAGAAGCCATTACAAAAAAAAAACAACAAAAACTCTTGTATATTTCAAAATTCCAAATCAAAACTGTGCGGTCTAAACCTTTCCAGCTTTACAGGCCGTTTGTCGAGTCTGAAAGTGATCTCTTGCAGAAACATATGAGCCATGATCCTCCAAATTCTAAAACAGGCTGCTCGTTAGGGTTAGATTCTTGCCACAAAGCTTTAAGTATGCTTAAAGTTCCAGCTCCTTTCGCCGACGTCTTGGCAGTTTGTGGCATATGACGATAAGAACAACAAGTAAGATTACACCTACAGCACCAAATACTCCTGTTAAGATGGCGAGTATCATCACCAGTTTATCTAAATTGGAGAAAAGACAGTCAACTACCGTAAATGACCCAATAAACGCCCTGTTTCAAACGTCGTGCTACCGCCGCGCCGAATTCAATTCATAAATTATAAATACATTAGAATACATAAAAAAAATTGCTAAACCGTTTCTTTATTTCTGTGTTTTGTTTTCGAAAACAGTTGTTCTATTCGACTCAATTAAATTCGACGTCTGAAACCAAGTCGTGCTAGTGTCGTGCTGCAGTCGAGCTACAGTCGAGCCAGCTTAGCACGGCCGTAGCACGACGTTTGAAACAGGCCCTTAAACGGATAATCTAAGCGTTCCTAAAAAATAGGCAGTCTATGACTGCATGTGGCTTACTGTATAGCTTCACCTCAATAAGGGACAACGTCTCACATTTGCAGACATCCTACAGCATTTAGTATAAGCTAAATCAAAATGGAATAACAACAACGAAACCAGAGTAGAACGAATAGCAAGAAAAATGTGGGAATGCAGTCTGCTAGTGTGACATCGTGATACAGGGGGGAACATGTCCTGCTAATGTTTAATAGGTACCAGTCCAACATATAAGTCAGAAAATAACAAAGAGTTGAGTTTGACGCAACGTAATAGTTTTTATTTGAGATCGATGCTTGCTTAAGGTTTGTATTATATGTAAACCATCTATGAATCTTAAAAGCCAAATAACTATTTTGATTATTTCAAGTAACACTGTTAATAAGACAGGGCAATAGCGCTAAAAGGAAACGATGCTAAAAATTACTAACACCGTTAAACAATACGACTACAGTCGAACCTCCATGTGCGACCACCTCCCATAAACGACCGCCAATCCAAAGCACTAAAATTTTCCCAGTCAAAGCTTTACAGTTGGAACCTCTAGTAAACGACCACCTCCTGTAAGCGACCGCGACCACTTTTTGGGCATGACGGTCAATGATTTTCCATTGTCTTTAAGAAACGGTCCAGATAAGAACGATAGCAACAACGGCAACGAACATGTTGGAATGCAAAAACGGTGCTAACTTTTCTATTGTCTGTACTTACTTCTGATTGGCTTAAACAGCAAAAGTTAACAAAACTTCATAAAGCGGTACATATATTCATCCTTACTTTCCAACCATCTTCCATATAGCAAAATCTGGTCTCAGTTTGAATAACAAAGAAATCCTATGTGGGGAACATGTAAAATTGTAAACTTTTCTTGGCTATTGTTCTCAACTCTTGTGATTGGTCAAAATCTTTAAACACAAAAAAACACCCTCTCAAAGTGGAGTGTAAATGCATTTTATTGCGTAGACGGCCTTCATGTAGGTTTATGCATTTTCTGTGTAAAAATGAGAACATTCCTATGTGGGGAAAGCACCGTTGCCCCATAACAAAAGAAATTGCTATCCACCTTACCCGGATCATTACTTAACCTCTTGTAAACGACCACTTGACGCATTCTCTTATCTCTATGTTCGTTGTGAGCACTATACTATTTAGAATATGCGAAGAACTTTAGTGAGAACACGGAACTGCACATGTCTTAACTAAGACATCGCATGCAATAAATTATCTTCCATAAAGAAGATGTTCCAGGACCTCTTCTCGGAAAAGGCTCCCTGTGGTTCGATTCTTGTAAGCAACCACTCAGTCGTTGCATTTTAGATGGTCACTTACGGGAGGTTCGACTGTAGGAGAGTAAAACTACACTATAATGTAAAAAGGAAAACAAACACGCTAAGGAACATGCTATGTCACGAAAGAAGGGCAAGCGGGACAAACAGCACGTGACCGGTGTCACTGAAGAGTCATATGATACGAAACAAGAGACGAAAACAACAAAAGCTATAGTAAACGAACTGAGGTTGTGATCTACGATCTCTCACAAAAACGTGGCACAACAAAGTAGAACACTAAGCTGAAGGAATAACAACGGCTTCGTTTAGATGAATTATATATCTGTTTTGACTCTTTTGTTGAATAGTAGCTTTAGATTCTTCTCACCAGACGAATCGTGTTATCTAGAGTTTAATACGATTTGCAGCAATACTGGATAAAACAGATGAAAAAGGGACTGCTTTTCTAAGCATTTTCTTACGCGTCTGTCTTAGATTATTCGCTCCCCTTGAAGGAGATAATCCGCTGCCCGAAGGACTTGACTCTTGATAAGGTTTTGAGATCGCCACGAGGCTAAGATGTTCAGCTGCACTAAACACTCGATCGCGCTTCGATGGAGTAATACATTTTCTGGAAAACTGGTAACTGAATTCTCTGCTAACAAGTTCTCCATCAATGCGAAGACAGCTGCATTTGATTCTTACACCTAATTATATAGATAGCGTAAACTCATTATGAATGAAGAACTCACCTTCCATTGGCGACCTCGAAAAAATCAAGAGCACATGGTAAATCGAAAATTTCTCGTGTGATCAAGTGTTAATTCCGAGTAACATTCGAGGCTATTCGAAGCTATCCTCGACAAACATTGAACAACCGACGATGTCCCGAAACAAAAAGGGGCTAAGATCGGTGAATATCGGATCGAAATCGGTAGAGTTTGTCGGCTCGGATTCTTTTGTTACACTCAATCACTCAACGCGATAACATTGTGGCGTACAGCCTCTAAGAGGCAGTAAGCCACAAAAAGCAGTCTCTGTAAAGATAAGTTTCTTCTCCAAGAAGCCATTACAAAAAAAAAACAACAAAAACTCTTGTATATTTCAAAATTCCAAATCAAAACTGTGCGGTCTAAACCTTTCCAGCTTTACAGGCCGTTTGTCGAGTCTGAAAGTGATCTCTTGCAGAAACATATGAGCCATGATCCTCCAAATTCTAAAACAGGCTGCTCGTTAGGGTTAGATTCTTGCCACAAAGCTTTAAGTATGCTTAAAGTTCCAGCTCCTTTCGCCGACGTCTTGGCAGTTTGTGGCATATGACGATAAGAACAACAAGTAAGATTACACCTACAGCACCAAATACTCCTGTTAAGATGGCGAGTATCATCACCAGTTTATCTAAATTGGAGAAAAGACAGTCAACTACCGTAAATGACCCAATAAACGCCCCTTATCTAATAAACGCCCTCTCTGTGCTGTGCACATTTTATTAGACGCCCCCTATGACAATTGCTCCAAAATACTAGAAATTAGCAAAAAGGAGCAAAATCATCAATTCATTCAGTTTCTTTCGGCGCGGCGCAGCTTCGCTCCGTTACAGAAATCCCGCCGAAACCACCTTTCTTATGTGTGCATAGAAGCCCTATCCGATATGGTTTTCGTGCGGGCAAAAGAGATATCTAGTATGGCCTAATAGATAGATAGATAAATACTTGTTTTGAGGGTTTCACCTGATATCCACAGATAATATGCGCGTAACCCCCAACCAAAAATTAAGAAAAAATAAATAAACAAAAATTAAGTAAATATTAAGTAATGATCCGGGTAAGGTGGATAGCAATTTCTTTTGTTATGCGGCAACGGTGCTTTCCCCACATAGGAAAGTTCTCATTTTTACACAGAGAATGCATAAACCTACATCAAGGCCGTTTACGCAATAAAATGCATTTGCACTCCACTTTCAAAGGGTGTTTTTCTTGTGTTAAAAGATTTTGACCAATCACAAGAGTTGAAAACAATAGCCAAGAAAAGTTTACTATTTTACATGTTCTTCACATAGGATTTCTCTGTTGTTCAATCTGAGACCAGATTTTGTTATATGGAAGATGGTTGGAAAGTAAGGATGAATATATGTACTGCTTTATGAAATTTTGTTCATTTTTGCTGTTTAAGCCAATCAGAAGTAAGTACAGACAAAAGAAAAGTTGGCACCTTTTTTGCATTCCAACATGTTGGTTGCCGTTGTTGCTATCGTTCTTATCTGGACCGTTTCTTAAATATACAAAATTCCAGAAAGTCCTACTTACAAACAATAGTTACAAAAATTATGGTCTTGAAAGGTATGTTTTCAGTTTCAGAGAAAAGGCCTAAAGCTCACCGCCCCGTGACGTGACCATTTAAACTGAGGGAAGTTGAAAATTATAGCCTCAGTCATTGATTATAACCGTTTTCTCGTGTATTGATTATTATGCCCACAAGTGGTTTGCGTCTTCGAGTATGACTCGCAAGCCAATGCTTGAGAACGGTATTATGGTAAACGTTTCGCTGTAACAGCTGTCAAAAGATGTAACAGTGTACAGAATATACGTGGTCATGCCTATCTTATTAAATACCTCTTTTCTTAAAATGTATTGGTTCTCCCCGTTTTCACGTGCATATATAAACTAACCGATTCTCTACGCTCTACATGTATATCATGACATTTAAAGAATCCAAATTAAATCCTCACCTTTCTTATCATCAGATATTGCCTCAGTTGTGGTCGGCTTGGGGCTTTCTGTGGTTTGCTCTTCCACTAACTGATCTGGTAGAAACTCATTCCACAGCGCCATCTTTTCTGGACGCATTTTGGACCTAACTGTCAAGTTCGCGCCCAGGCCAATATATTCCTCTCGCCCAGCTGTGTACTGCGGCCACGTTGTCTCCAAAGGTGTCGGAGAATTGGGATTTCTAGCAATATAAAACAATATGTTTTACCCTCTTGACTATATCAAGATTCTTAGATGGTTTGGTTTAGTTTATAACGAAGTCACGCCAGTGACCTATAACTATGCCAAGACCTTTGCCTATGGGTTTTTCTTACAGAAGCCTAACGTATTGGATTAAGCCTAGCACGAAATTATAAACTGTAACACTACTCTTCCTTGAAGAGATATTGGCCAAATTGAGACTCCACATGAAATCAGGGTTAGTGTCGTGTCAAATTGCCTTCTGGGACGCAATTCCATTCATTCAAATTACAATCAAACTTCTGTTAAGCTTGGCTAGGAGTAGTCCAAGCATTATCCTAGTATTTCCTCAGGGACAATAGATCCAGCAAAAAACGTAAGCGCACGTGAAAACTGCGACGCGCGAGGAAGGTTGGCCTATTAACAGGCTCTCGTGGCGTGTAGGACAGCCAAGAAGGTCGAACGAGAAGGGGCATACCTCATTGTGCCCCTGGGAGTCTGTTCGCAGGCGAGATGAAGTTGACACGAGGAGAGAATCAGGAACTACTCGTGATCTATTGTTATGTGTTGTGGCCCCCGAAGAAAGTGAGCGTCTTACAGGGTTCGTACCCTTTTTTGGAACAAAAAATTCAAGGACTTTCAAGGACACATTTTCCATTTGTCAAGGACTCCATTTAGTGCAAAAAAGAGCCTTGAGTCTATATATTTTTAGTTCTTCCACAACACGAGTAATTTTATCCCAAGGTCTTTCTGTGTTTGCTCCTTTTTCTGTGGAATCCACTTAAACTATAAAGGTAACAATCAATTTTTTATTTAAGCTCGATAACGTGAGGAGTGGTTGCCCAATCTCCCGAGCCAGGGGCTCATGTATTAAACGTTCGAGGATTCTGGATCGAATTGAAATTTAGAAATGTTGGTTTTTGCGTAACATTGAAAATTGAAAATCAAAGGATTTTACAGCATCGACTGCAATTTTCAAGGACTTTGAAGGTGCGTGCGAACCCTCAGGTCTTATAAAAATTGACCGCTTAAAAGAGGGCGGGTATCCCGTAAACGATATTAGTATCCAACTCAAGTAATCAATATTAAGGTAAAGGGGTCAGGTAGTCTTAAAGGGCAGTATCGGTAACTGAGGAGGCGGATATGAATTGGAAGCTCCTGGAAAGTACCAATTCACGTCATTCAAGAAAACAAGTTTTCTATCACTTGGCCTGAAACGGAAGCCAAGTAAAGTACTAAAATTTCTACTTACCCAGTCTTGGCAAAATTACTCCACAGCGTCATAAAGCTCTTAGCAAATCTTACTTGAATTTCACTTGTTTGATTTTTCTGCGTCACAAGAGGAAAGCCAAACGTGTAAAAAATATCTGCCCCATGATATATTCCGTTATCTTCTGGTATAGGTATACCAAGCACAAACTTGGGAGCTATCTCTAGTTGGTAAAAGTACGTTGGAACTTGCTTCTTCACAAAAAACTCTGCTGACTCCACAGCGGGAGCTTTGAAGAACGAGTCTGTAAAGAGATGGACGAGCTGCTCGCGTAGCACATAGGGGTTGCTGACGTTCGACCAGTTTGTGTATTCATAAATAAGCAAGTCTGTGATTCTCTCGGTTTGATGCCGAGTCCAAAGTCTGTTCTTTATCTCTTTCTTGAAGAGTGCCCTTGAAATGCCGTGTGAAATGTTGAGACCTTTAGTGATACCTTAAATACAAAAATATTTCGAATGTTTGAAATAATACTGAGAAATATATGCTAATAAGTTTGTGTAAATTAAGCTTAGGAATTTTGTGGTTAGGGCCTGAAGCTCTTCCTCACACAAGCTTACTGCTAACTCAAGTGTTTATGAAGGCGATCCACTATTTACTGTTGAATAATTCAGCCGGTTATAAAACCGAAAATTTTGATGTGTAGTGTTGATAGCGCCATCCATCTTTTGAGTGCCCGGACCCTCTATGGAAACTACGTGACGGTAATGTTCGAAGCCTACCCCACAGAAATGTTAACCTCTCGATCACAGGGCCTCTAACAGTTCAGGCTAGAAGCTGATTTATTTCCGTCTAGGACTTGTTTGACCAATAATATCATAGGTGACGAATTACTCCTTAATTTTGGCGCGAAATTTCAGCATTAATTTGTAATTTCACATGTGAAATTACAAAATTGCCATGGCAACCTTCCGTACGTCTCAGTGTCAAGATGGCGACGAAGTTTTAAAATGCCGTTAATGAAGATGTCAGGGCACAAAAAGACGCTTTAGAAAACCTGAACATACAAGAGAACATCAAGAACGATTCTAGCAGGTATTTTGCCGAAATAGTCTGAAAAATTCTGAACTTTATAAGCCAAATTTAAGGTCTAAACATTTGAGAGAGTGAAGTTCTCGATCGATACGATCCAGGATAAACATGTCAAAAATCCAAGATTGCTAACGTAATTCGTCACCCATGATATTAATAGGTAATCAAATGGTATACTCGTGAAATTAGGGAATAATTTCACTTGCGTTTTGTCCAAATCCTAATAATTTCCCTCACCTAAAGGCTCGGGAAATTATTAGGATTTGGACAAAACGCGCGTGAAATTATTCCCCAATTTCACTCGTCACCATTTGATTACACATACTAATCGTGGGATAAGTGAGTAGGACTTTTACCTGGCATCGGTATGACGAAAACGCCACCATCGTCCCGAGTTACCCCGACAATGACATTGGTAGCGTTGAACTTTCCAGCTTGTAAGAGCTTTGGAGGAGAATCTAGAATTAAATAAAAATGATGATGATAATGATGATGATGATGAATGAGCATTCCCTGAGTGCACTTTTGTAACATACAAGCTTGGTCTGTGTAGGAGTGGTGAGAATTCTTTTCTCTCCTGTAGCTATTCTCTTATTCCATACAGAAACACACATTCTGGCAAATTTTGGTGTCAGACGGTTACTATGGGTTACGTGATATGACTTCACAAAAGACACGATTCTTGTTGAGAAAAAATGCAAGTTATCGCACGTTTTTGTATAAAACATGCAACAATTCAAAATGTTTTAGTATTAATAACAAACATTTAGGCCTGAAGAAGGAAATATGCCCAGTGTCTTTAAAACTATTGCGATAGGTTCGAATTTTCAGAATAACTCAAGACCGCAGACACATATAACAAGAATTTTGCTCTTTTATCAAAACAACGAGTCGTTCTTGGGATAGTAAGCACTAAAATAGTCAGTTCAATGAGATAAAAATTGCAGTACCCATATCCATTTAAAACTTCAACGTCGCCAGGAGTATCCTATAGCATTTTTTAACAATTTTGTCTGGGAGATGTGATGAAGTCAGGTCCCGCAATCCCCTGCGGGGGGTTGGGTTTGGTCAAGAGAAAATAATGGGACAGAGGGGGAATCTTGGGGCGGGATATGCGTATTTTACTAGAGTTTTTTTAGGGCTTGTAATCAAAGTCTCATCCCTAAGAAGTCCGCACATTTCAATCGATGGGTTTAAAACGTCATCAAGTCCACGGGCTACTGCTTCAGAGAAAACAATTAATGCAGCTGAATATTGTAATGGATACTGTTGAATTCCCTCTTGGCAACACTTGATAGAAGTAATTAGTATATACACTCAATGATCTTGGTGATTTAAGCAATCTGATTGGTTCGCTATCTCGGAGTATTCAACAATATCCACCTCCTAGCGAGTGGATAATGTGTGAGCTCGGTGTTTTTCCCATTTTTTTTAGAGAACGATCTTTTAGAAGTCAACAAAATCCCAGGGTTGAATTTTTTTAAGGCAAGAAAAGACTTGGAAGGATTCAAAACCGCGTTTTCCATTTACTGCAGCTGAGTTTTTTTTTTGCTCGATGGATTATTTACAACTCCCGTTTATTCGCGTAGAAGAAACCGTTTCGTGAAGTACTCAGCGTTTCCTCACAAGAAAATTGGGCCCAAAAATCGAAGTTTATTTATGACAAACAAATTTGAAAGCAAATGTTTGCAAAATCCTACGTTTCAAGTAAATAGGAAGAAGAATGGTACAGGAAGACGACTTCTTACCTCGAGCAACCGAGCCGCCATTTTTGTCAGCACTTCATGCGAAGAACGACACAACAGACCCTCTTGGCTATAAACTTGGCGAATTAACAGAAAAAGCCCTACTTTTCCTCTCAGGTGAGGAAACAATTCAAACTTTAAACAGTTCCATTTAAGCCATTTCGCTGTTGTTTGCGAAGTGATGAACTTGTGAACTGCTATGTTTGAAAATTCTGCAAAGATCTATTTACTAAACTACGTCGATCAAATAGTACTTTTTAATGGTTTCCTCTCTGATTTTGTTGAGATCACTTCGTGTGTATATACTAAAACAATTATTCTTTTCAATCTGGTGAATAGTGGCTTTAGGAATATTTACACCGCCGCCTCCAGCCTAGTTAACCTCGATTTCAAAGAATAATTGCTAATTACGAACCTCACGGGAAACCAACTTCCGATTAACTGCAAGCCTTTAATTGGCTAAAAAATAACTTTGGTGATATTATCTTAAGGGCTAGACTGGGCTTTTCCCTCTGTGACCCATTATTTCCTCTCAGGTTGTTTTCATACCAGGCAAAAAGTATCCATCCATTACAGGTCCAAGGGGCAGAACATTTTCCTTGGAACGGACTTTAAGCTGGGCCTTTAGAATCTCATCGACTGATTTCTCCTTCAAGCACTGTTTAAGGGAGGAAAAGTCACATCCCACTAACTGTGAAAAGCTCCTGAAAAAGATTTAATTAATAGTCAAAGGAACTCGATTAATTGAAAAACGTTTTAAATTAAAGGTAAGTGTTACCAAGATACAATGCTACCTGAAAGGTTTTCATCGCTTTAGGCGTCTTTTCCAGTAAACAGAAAAACTGTTTTAAGTGTCACTCGTTAAGGGCAAGAGAAAAGTATTGGACTAACAAAATTGTAGCCTATGCCACACTGACAGACGAAACTTACCGAGGTTAAATTACATCTGCAACACAGGCTACAACGCTGGTGAGTCGGGTGAGGTGAAATTTCAATTTTTTACCTCGATGTAGGATTGAGTCGATGTCCTCTAAAGGTTCTTTCTGCTTTATATAGACTTGCCTACAAGTAGAGCTCAAATTTTTTTCACGAGCGCGAGGCGCGAGCGGTAGATTTTTTTATGTCTTCTGCGGCAAAAAGCGAGCGAGAGCGGGAGCCAACTACCGGAACCGGAAATTAGAAGCGAAGGACTTTGAGAAAGTCTATACTTTATACTACTTTTCTAGTAAACTGAAAAACCGTAAAAAGCGTCTTTTTACCAAAATTGCTTAGGCAAGGCAGGCAAGATTTCCAATTTTTTCTCGCGCGGTTAGGATTGAGTCAATGTCTTTTTCTTCTTCTATTTTTTTTCAAGCAGGTATTTAAAGAAAGCGAGCATGAGTGTAATAACGTCTCACTCTCGTACTTAGAAAGCAGTTTGTGAACCATGCATCGACACGAACGCGCATTTCAATCTGTTGTCGCAAGCGTTTTCTCATAGCGCGTTGTTGTATTTTACCAGTTCAGCTTTACATTCCAGAAAACATTTTTTTAAATCGAAGATGAAGCAAAGGAAAGTTTTGTTTTAATTTCTACGTTTTAACCAGCTTTAGATTTTTAACTAAGCAGTCGGAAGGCTCACAAACGCACGCAACTAAGAGAAAATAATATTAAAGGGGCCTAGTAGCAGAGAGGGAAACGCCCATTGAAGCCCTTGAATATCTGAATTTTACCAAAATTACTTTTAGACCAAATAAACACCTGAAATTTATCGGAAGTTGTTTTCCGGAGTGGTCCGCAAAATTTTATTCAGTTTTGTCAAAGGAGAATTTAACAGTCGACATGACAATAGCGATTCTCACGCTGAAATCATCTATTGATTTCAATGTACTAACCAGAAGTGCACTGGTTCTTAAAACAAATGATTCTAAAAAACGATGTTTGTAAACAGTGATGTCTCATTGCATTGTTTGCTTTGGAAGTCGCGCGTGGACTTGACGACGTTTCAAAGAATCGATTGAAAATATGCAGACGTCTCTGGAACTAGACTTCGTTTAATCACAACCTCTAAAAAAACTTTAGTCAAATTCACATATCCCGGCCAACGCCCTAAGATTCCCTCTCCCTACCAGATTTCAAATTTTCACGAAATTTTTTATACTCTACCTGGCCACCGAGTCAGCCTCGTGTCTTTCTAAATAAGAAAAGAAGGCTGTTGCTGTTCCACTCTGCAAGATTGCATTCTGGTACAAACCATTAGTCAGCGGCGACAACATCAACAATCCAGCGCTTATTCCACCTGCCGACTCACCAAATATGGTCACTTTATTGGGGTCGCCGCCAAAACTAAAATATATATAAAGTTTAAAGATAAATTAAACTTGGTTTATAGCATTTTTATTCCTTACCGGTGAAATTACTTCACTCCTCGTGTCAAATCCCCCATACTCTACCCTCCTAACTGATGCTTAACCCCCCTTCAAGATGCGCTTTCTTTTTTCTCTTGCCGTATAAGACGTCTTTGAGATAGAAACCCTTTGTTTTCACCTCATTTTCGTCCATGCCGAACTTTTCTGTTCAGGCAAAGCGAAAAGAAAGTTTATCTAGGAGAAAGCGTTGCGCCAATATCTCCCTAGCAATATCTGCATACACTCGGTTCTGTAGGGGTGTCAAACCATGACTGACATCACGTAATTCAAACATTTGTATTCCGTTTTTACACTAGAAACCTGTCAATCTGACATTACACAAACGAGATTGGCATAACAAAATAAACCTCACTAAAAGAATCTTCGATGGCCAAACAAAAAAAAGGGACGGTCATCCGGCGGATAATTGAAGGACTAATATAAAGTTTCTCGGTTGGCTTCTTTTAGGGGCTGATTTCGAAGAATATCTGAAAACTAAAATATCGGAGAAAATTGAGAATTAGTTTAAACAGTGCATCGTGTCTTCAGGCGGAAAGGCGTCTAGCCTGCCTGGCAAAATTGAAACGTTTTCGCGTAGTCTTTGATTCTAGTTCCTCGTTCTTTGCTCCGAAACGGCATAGAAGCGCTTGCTCCGCAGGCTAGCCAGCAAGCTCTCTGGAAAGGGGGGGGGACATTCTGGGGGGAAGAAAGAGGCCCCAAGGCTTCCCCCTACCCCGGAGAGCTGGGAGCTGTACTATAAACTAGACTGTCGCCTATAAATTTTTTTATCTCTAGTTAAATCGTATCAAGAAATGGTCTATTGAGCCAGATCAAATTCCTCAAAACAATAGCCTTTTGTCCTAGGTGTTGCTGCCGAAACCACACTGAACAGTCTGTTCATAATAGTTTAATTTTCGACGTGACAGTTTATAATATTAGGGGGGAGGAAAGAGGTTTTTTGCTCTGAGGCGATGCTATTTTAACTGGGTCACTGAGTTGGACGTTGGGTACTTGATAGACTTGCTCACAAGTCGAGCTTTTGAGCGCGTAGCGCGACTGTGAGCGCGAAGCGCGATCGTACGAGCGCGGAGCGCGAACGAGCGAAATTAAATTTGGCGCGCTGCAAGGGATAAAAGTCGTTCGTGCCGGGTCCTACCACACCAGACCAGAAAACCAAGCGAACGACTTTGAGAAAGTCTAGGTACTTGACAAAGGTCGTTTCCGCTGTGCAGTCGAGGATGCAAAGTCCTTCAGGATAAGTAGTAGATGACGATGACCGAGGGGAAAGTTACGCCACGAAGCGCTTTTTAATATCGTCAAGTAAAACATCGGGTTGTGTGAACGTTTTCTGCTTGCTCATCTTAACTACTATAACACATGATCAATTTACAGTTCAGATGTATTGTGCAGACAAGGCAGGCGTGTGTATTTTGCGGGTCGAGCAGGAAAACCGTTTCACTTTTGATCGGATCGTAACGTGAAGGAATTTTATTATAGCACTCCTAAGTGCTTTTCTACTCAGTGCTCTGAGCAAAGCAAAAAATAAGATTTCGGCTATACTTTTCCAAGCGGTTCAAAGAACGTCCTCAAACCGTTATAAAAACAACGCTTTATTCTTTGCACGTCCTAGCGCTGTGAATTGATGAAGGTGCGGTCTTTAATCCAACTCCTTTTTCAGACAATTATTCTTCTTTTAGTGGGCGCAAACTGCGTCCCATAATTCTCTTAACAAAAGAAAATTGACAAAAAACATTGAGTAAAAGTGTACCCTTTTTATAACACACAGAAGAAGTATAAAAACCAGCTAGAACTAACAGTTGCCATAAATATTCTGAGAGAACTAGGATTGCGATAATATCAAACACTCAAACCAAACCAACGTAAGCTTAACTGGTGTATCGGTCAAATTGAAGCTTCAACATCCCCCCCGGGCATACCCCGGGAATTTGACACCCTTGCCGTCCCGGGGAGGAGGGAATGATTATCAGAGTCTTCCAGGGGGTGGGGGATTTGATCCCCATGCGAAGGAGGTGGGGAATTCAAACCGTAGCCTCGATTTCATGTGAAATCTCTGAGCGCTTTGCACGTGGCGAATTATCATGGCGGACGCGGTGTTAGAGGGTCTTCGTTGAAAAGATGGTGCATTTGTGGCCAATTGGTCACGAGGAAAGGGCTTAAACAAGCTTTGTGCCGTATTTCAAGGTATTCAAATTATAATATTTTTAATATTTGATTCAGGCTTTGAATAAATACCCGCGATTCAATACAACAATAAAGAGCCCAACAGAGGTCAATAACTTTGACCTGCTGCATGTATGTTTATTAATAAGCTGAGCGATGATGCATATCGGTGAAATGGTCATGAATATCACATGTATGGAAAGTAATAATCTCAGTAGCTGGGATTTTTTTTATATAGGACACTTTCTACGTTGCATGACACACGAAGAAAAGCTAAGCATATTCAGTGACCTTGAAGCAGCGATTTCCGCCACTTTGCACGAGTTTTGTTCGTGGTAAATACGCCTACAGTGTTTCTCATTTTTTGTTACATTGAAATTATGCAAATTACTTGCTGTATTTATAAAGATTTTGTTCGACAACTGAAGGCGTTTCTGCCGTCCTTCTGTTATTTGTGTGCCTGTGAAATGATAATTGTGCAAATACTTTGCACAATTAAGGACAAGATTATTGAGGTTAGGTTTAACGATTCGTGATAAAATATGTCAACCACATGTAATGTATGTTTAATATTGGGTTTCTTTTTATAAAGCCGTCCAGAATAAATTGGAATAAAAACTTTACTGTCTATTGCAACCTGTCTGCAGAATCGGCTTCAAGAGTTCCTACATAATGGATAATATAGAAAGTCTTTAAGGGACGAACCATAGGAAATAACCGGAGGTGGGGTGACAATTCCCCCAAAACAATTCCTGCAAGGTAAACTTGTCTAAAAAAAAATCCTGCAAGCGGTGATACCTAAAAACAATAAGTCATATGCCCTAGGAAAATCACTACGAGCCTCAGCGCTCCGGAAGTTAAAAAATTCGTACCGTCTGGTTGCTATGAAGTGACGTAATCATCCAGTTGAGTATCCATCACCGTAACACTTTTGCGGTCAACTACCGCAGCGCTCGTAAAGTACTTTAATTAAAACCGTGTTCAAAACCCTGTTGAAAGTCTGTTTATTTTTGAGTCGATTAATGCACTGCTGACTTTCACGAGGTCAACTTTTGCATAAATTATCAAACATTATGTTAAGCGGGAAATCTACCTATGGTTCGCGGGAGAAGCAACTTCTATAGCGGCGCAAGACAAATGTTTCGAGAGTCGAGGATGTGCTCACAAACTATTCACTATGCGACGAAAGGAGAAATCACTGGCATGATAGCTGCATGTAATGGTAATTTTATCAATCCAGGTCGCGCCGTGTTCGCTCGAGAAC